ATGAAAAATTAGTATTTTCAGTTTGGAATAAATTCATTTACCAATAATAGTCATCTTTGAGAATTTTCATATCTTTTTAGAGTGACTTGATATTTTCATAAAATTAGGCCATTATGTCATTATATACTGTTCTTACAATAAGCCAAATTTTAATTCATTTGGTGATCTACTCTATTTAATATGCAAATTATATACTTGTTTTTAATAAATCATGATTTTCATTGATAGAAATTGTCAATATTTTTTTTCAATTATTTGAGTTTGTTCTAGACCTTTACAAGCATAATCACTACAAATTATTCCAAAATACTACATTGTGTGCTTACTTTACATCAGATTTAATAGTTTGATTTAAATACACTTGAAATTCAAACTTTACTTGATTAGAAACAAATATAATAATTGTTTCAAAAAAATATTGAAATAGTTATTTTCCCATATGGATAAAAATGAAGTTGAATCTCCCATTAACAGCATGATTATTTTAAAAAGTTACGGCCCCACCACTGTTCTGAAATCCCCCCTCCCCTCCCCGCAAAAAAGTATTTGTCCCGCCCCAGTTTGCACCGACCCATCCCTCAGATAAATATTGAACTGCCCCTAATAAAAAAATCAATGTCCTATGTACATCTTAGTTGAAAAAAAGTCCAGGTCCCAAGGAAATTTTGCTCAGAAAAAGTGCCTGTACCATGCTTATTTGTACCGTCCCATGCCTTAATTAATTTTGACCGGTCCTTACTATTCGATGAGACTTTCGGGTTATCACAATTTTCTTCTGAAGGATGTACTCGGGTCAAGTTTTTGATTTTTTTGTCAGATGTTCGGATTCCTTGGGTTTTTTCTACGATACATGGTAAAATATTTCAGCCCATCTCACCCACCTTTCTTTTCAAAGATGACTTCAATAGCTCATAAAAAGGTCATTAGCAAAAATTAAGCAAATTCTAGATTTTTTTCATACGATTTGAGACCCGAATAATGTCAATGCTAAAAATAAGGTAAAGGTCCGAGTAAGCCTTTTCCTGCCATTTAATTTTTTTAAAAATCAAATATCTCAAAAAGGAGTTCCATAACCTATCAATATTTTAAGCTTATTTTGTTCCTTAACTAACGACTTAAAGCATCAATTTTAAATTCTAGATTTTTTAAATTTCACCTAACTATATACTTAAATAACTTGTTAAAAAACGTAAAAACATTACTTCAAAAATTTAATGCGTCCGAAGTGCTTCTCTTGATTTATCTTCATCAGGAACGCTCAAAGCCGAATTAAATAACTATTAATTGAAATTGGGATTAATAATTATTGCTTGACATTTGCTTTCCCATGGAGAATATGTCTTCTACTGTACCCATATAAATATATATTAAGTTGTTTGTAAATAATCATGATTCCTTATTATTATCTCACACATGGTTGATACGCAAAATTAATTAATATGTTTATACTTTAAAATCTTGTGACGATCATCAAGTATGTACAAATATTTGTTGACTTCACTATGTATTCAAATAATTTCAAGTACATTAAAGTGCATGCAGGTGCACTGTTAAGAACATTGAAAGTTATGAAATCTATCTCTATTAGACAACTCTCGATGATCAATAAAAATAAGAGAACTCCCCCATAGGTATTTTTAAATGAAACTATAACTCTATTATTGTGACCTTGCTCAGGACTTTATATTGTTTTGAGTGAACCATCCTTATATAGCTTCTTCGTAGGAGATCTTTGATTTATGTGTGATATCCCCGAGAATAAACAATATTTTAGAAGTTTGCAAAGTCTCATAAGAAGCAGTTCTTAAATTACTAAATTCAACGTTGTATTAAAGTCTCATCTCTCAACAAGTACAATCGATAATTATACATTGTAAAACAATACTAAATAAAATGATAGCTATTCTATACAGAATTATAAAAGAAGAGGTTTCAAATTATGTCTCAAACTCTATTATCCTCAAATCTCTTAAATTATGATCGCTTTTATGGCGTCACTCACCTTATTTATTACTACTTTTAATGTTGTTCTAGTGAGCTTGTTAAAACATTGCAAGTGCATTGAAGTACATTCAGTCCAATCATTGTACACTGCGTTCAAAGAATGTCGTTGGCGTATATTTCAGGAAAGACCAGACACAATCGAAACATGATGCCCTTCGTATTGTTAGTTCCATTAAAGCTTTAAAGCTATAACAATTAACTATTACCTCAAGGAGTATATCATAATCATTCCCTGTGTTTGTGTGGTTTTAAGTAATGTATATCCTTTAGTATAGTTTTAGAGCAGCACAAGAAACTACATCGACAGGGAAATGAAAAAGAAAAAGAACACCTAACACGGGTAATTATCAGAACAAACTGTAGAGTATGGGGTCAACCGGGTGTACAAATATCATTTCACTAAAACATATGTAATTCCCGATATATATATATAAATAATATATAAGTGCCTATAAATAGTGTGTTAAAATTACATTGTTAGGCAATATATAAATAATATATTACAGTACTTAATTAAGAACAGGCCAATGCGACAATATATTGAACGTTTACTGCCACATGTCACGGTATATCTAAATACATCTATTTGATCCGAACCGATCGTCAAATTTATAGATAGAATCAAAACGCCATTACGACTGTGTCACTGCAATGAATTTTTGAATTACTAAAGAAAAATAAGACATCAAAAGGATAAGAAAAATACTTCTTTTAAAGCATGTGTGAAATTTATATGGCAAGCGAATAAAGTACCTTAATGATAAAATTAAGATATGTTTAAAGATATTTTTATAACGGATTTCGTACCCAAGGATTTCGTACCCAAGAATATGATAGTCTTTATAATCAACGTCAACAGATACCACTTAGTCTTCATCACACTTTTTTTTATCTAAAAATCGACAATGGGTTCCGTTTAGAGTAGAGTAATGCTTCAATTTTCTTATTGCTAACTTTCCTTTTTTCATGTAGCAATTATGACTACGATGTGAATAGCACATACACATTTATCCGATTTATAGACATAAAACTGTACATAACCCCGCCCATTCTGTATGTGCCTGTCCCAAGTCAGGAGCCTGTAATTCAGTGGTTGTCGCTTGTTGCTGTTTATCATATTTATTTTACGTTCATTATTTTGTACATAATCAGGCCGTTAGTTTTCTCGTTTGAATATTTTTACATTTTGTCATTTCGGGGCTTTTTATAGCTGACTATGCGGTGTGAGTTTTACTCATTGTTGAAGACCGTACGGTGACATATAATTGTTAATTTCTGTGTCATTTGGTCTTTTGTGGAGAGTTGTCTCATTGACAATCATACCACATTTTCTGATTTTTATATAACGTAAACATTGCTGCAAATTTAAAATGATTTCTAAACTATTCGATAAACATGTAAAGAATGTTCATTGCAACAACTCAAATAGTAAATCTTCTCATTTTGCAACCATATTTAAGATCCAGTCAACGGAATTATAGGTGTTATATATGATTCCAGTTTTTGGTTCAGACAACAGACAATAAATATCAGTAGATAGATTAAAACCAAACACAACAAAATTAACGAAATATAAATTGTAATGAAAAGAACAATATGATGGAGTTGAAAGCAATAATGCAGACAATCATAAAAAACTAAATAGAACAAAGAAGACTTAAAACTATCTTTAGACAAAATAACATAAAAAACGGATACTGTTGGTTTTTAGCAAGCAGAATGATTAGTGATAAACAACAGGTAGGAAAGCATGTAGTGTACCTACAATAACGACCAAAGGTCTATGAATATAAAGACTACACCTGTTGGCTCCGACAGAGTAACACTCAAATACGCAAAGAGCATGTTGGTATCATAGTCATTCTCGATTTAGACAAATCACTATGTTATTTTTTATCGACTAATTGATCAATAGAATAAGACAACATAATCAATCCTTTGGGGACCCTAGTTCGTGTATTTTCACACTCCATTTCCGAGCTTCACGATCTAGACAACTAAGTAGACATACATGTTTCTATGTCCCATTTTGTACCACAATATGAGCGTCATCAACGGGTATAGCTATATAAAAAATAAGAAGATGTGGTATGATTGTCAATGAGACAACTCTCCACAAGAGACTAAATACATAAATTAACAACTATAGGTCATCATACGGCCTTCAACAATGAGCAAAGCCCATACCGCATAGTCAGCTTTATTAGGCCCCGAAATGACAAATGTAAAAACTATTCAAACGAGAAAACTAACGGCCTGATTTATGTACAAAATAATGAATGAAACACAAATATGATATACAACAACAAACGACAACTACTGAATTATAGGCTTCTGACTTGGGACTTGGGACTATGTCTACTGTATGCTTCAAATACAGTTATTACATTTAAAAAAACGACAGTGGCGGTCTGTTAAGAGTAATAGCTGTACTTCAGTTTTTCTATTGCAAACTTTTCAATTGAATCTAGCAACAGTTTACCCACGAAAGGAGTGTGTATTTTCCTGATGAAACGATATATCTCAGTGCTTGTGTTATATATCAAGATTCCCCTTGATTGAAGTTGATAAAACAAGGGTTTTAAAAGGTGGACTCAAAGTAATATAAAGTTTTAAGGACCTCAACATGACTTGTTGACACATACGAAATAACTATAACCAAGGACGTATATTATTAGTTATACGTCCTTGTTTTATACGTCCTTACTATAACAGATAACAGGAAATCATCCATTTGTTGTAATTGCAATGATCCTGACTTTTAGATTATAGGTATGACAGATGATATGGACTGTAATGGTCAATGCAATTTTCTGGGAGTTATGTGTTGCCAGATTTAGGATAGTAACAGAATTCTTTACATGAAGTCAGGCAAGATGTCAAACTAATAATTGGTCACCAGATTCGACATAACGTTAGTCTTTGCAATTCTCCCATAAATGAAAGAACTGAAAACGATTATGGCAGTCTTCTCATCTCGCAAAAACAAGATAAAGTAAAGAAATAATTTATTTTCTTGTATACAAATAATATAGTATCACATTAAATATCATTGTGTAAGGGCTTGAATATGATGCTTATCATCATCAAGATAATAAAATCAAATATTTGTATGAAAGCATAATTATGATATCATTCCACTGTATTCTAAATTTGATAGCTTAATCAATATTTGATTGACTCAGACCACTCCACATGACACCTGAACATAGGGACTTCCTCGTGCGACGTTACGCGCGATTAATGTACATAACGTTTTGCGGTTACATGTAACATAAATTAATATTTAATGGTCAGGTACTTAGTTATAAACAAAGATAGGCAGTGGAATAAAACATTTATTTCCCTTGGCTTAGGTAGATATTAAGATTTGTTCACTCTCGAAAAGTCACATTTGCGTCGGGTGATACCTCCGGAAATTATTAGCTTCCTTGTTTCCCTCATGCACGGACAATAAATGTATATAACCGTAGTACCTACGTGACATGTATTATATACAGGATTAAAGTTTCAAATATATTAATTAAAATGATAATATCAGATGAATATAAATTATAAAATGTACTAAAAATTAAACAGAACAATAGTACATATGAAGAGAGAGATATATCGTTTGGTTATACATATGTAATTGGCATGTTTTTTTCTGTATATATTTTTTGTTTGTTTAATAGTTACCCAGTAAATGTTACATGTACATGGCAAGCGTTTTCATATATAAATGAAATGATATTAAGTAATACATTTTACATGATCGGGCAAGATTTAAAAGCTGGGTAACAAAGGCACCTTGACTAAAAGTTACATTGTGAGTCAATTGATCACTCACAAACACTCATTAAAGTTTTGAAATGTATTCATATTAGAAACTAAGATTACCAAGTCCCAATTTCTGTAGGAGGACATGTCCCTATATGACATAGCCGTGTTAGCTAAGTCAAGTCAGGTGAAACCAATGGGGCAATACCATCATTACTTTGGTATACTTCTTTTCTGTAGGAGAACATGTCCGTATATCACATAGCCGTGTTAGCTAAGTCAAGTCAGGTGAAATCAATGGGGTAATACCATCATTACTTGGTATACTTCTTTTCTGTAGGAGAACATCTCCCTATATGACATAGCCGTGTTAGCTAAGTCAAGTCAGATGAAACCAATGGGACAATACCATCATTACTTTGCATGGTATCAATGGGACAATACCATAACTACTTTGGTATCAATGGGGCAATACCATCATTATTTTGGTATCAATGGGGCAATACCATCATTACTTTGGTATACTTCTGTTCTTTATGTATTATGTAACATATGGATATCAAAACTTGTGTAGGATAAGAGGTGTGCGATTTGTGTAGGATAAGAGGTGTATGATTATTTCACGATTTTGGAAGTCGAGGTTGTTCTTATCATAACTTGACCGGAATAACAGCCCTGATGAATGCACAAAGGAAAACATGGAATGCATTTTATAAATGTATAGGATTACAAAATATAACAATAAAAATAGCAATTCATGAACACATTATCACGTTTACGAAACGCCCACATTTACGCACCATATAATAATATCCTACATCACATTTCTGTAGTCATATCTTCCATTTGAATTGTTGGTAATGTATTTAATGTCATGCGTCCTGTGACCGGAAGCACTGGTGCTGTGTTCATTCTTTGTAGTCGTCTTTTTTCTCTCTCTACCATTGTAATTGATAACTTTCGGCTATAGCCTTTGTAAATTACACTGTCTTGTGTCCTTTTCACCACTCGGATGTTCTCTAGATTTTTTGGTGCATGTTTATATCGTGGTTCAACTGGTTCTAAAATTCTTATACTATTCCATTGCTTTAAAAACACAATTACTGCAATTACCCAAACTACGACTACTATCGCAATAAAAATTATTTCTTCCGGGTAGACACCACTTCTTTCTATTCTCAGTAACCTGTTTTCTAGAATGATACATAAATAAACATTTAAAAAAGGATATAAAAACATTCCATGACGAATTTTCTATATAAAAAAGACGTGTTTTTGGAAGAAATTTTGATTAATTTGTATTCATATCAAATAATATGATTTCAGCTTCTTAGATAAGAGACATGAACTATACACCTTTTGTTCTTGATTTGATTTTGCTTATTTTGGAAATAAATTTTGTGTACTGAACACATAGGAAAAATGATAAAAAATCCAGGTGCGCATGACAGTCAATCCGCATCTGATTTCAGGTATTTTTGTGCTCAGAACCACCCCCATATAAGAGTGGGCTGAAAATTGTATGCATTAATATATGAATTGGGGGAAAGGGGGGGGGGGGGGTCACATTCCAGCCGCACTTCTGTACCCATTTTTAACCGAAAACCGAAGTAATCCACCCCCCCCCCCCCCACCCTTTAAGGTATACCTTTTGCTGAGCAGACCATAATACTTGCAGACAAAGCGGAAATGATGACGGCACGTAAATTTTTGCTAATTTACCCAAAAATATTTCGCAACATGCTCCGTTCCTCAGAACAATATATTTTGCACCCCCCTAACATTAAATCCTGGATCCGCACCTGATTTCTGGTGTTTCCGTGCTCAGAAACACCCTAATATATGAGTGGGCTGAACATTGTATGCATTAATATATGAATGGCGGTGGGTCACATTCCAGACGCACTTCGGTACCCATTTTTAAACCGAAAACTGAAGTAATCCCCCCACCCTTTTCATGTTGAATTGATGCGGTTCCCCGGAAGAAAAAGCTCTTGACGCGTAAAAATCTGTTGTTGAATTGCTGAGAGCGTCAAAGGAATGTGTATCACAAAGTGTTTCAGTGTAAGGTCAATATTTACCGTATCTGCTACAAAATAAAATTTAATTTTTCTGGGCAGATGTGCAATGACGGAAATGATGACGGCACGTAAATTTCAGAGCCGAACGTCGTGAAGGACGGTCGATCCGAACTATTTTTTTCCCACTTTTAACCCCCAAATACCCCCAAAAGATCTTGAAATGAACACATAATAAACTACGCTAGTCATTACCCCTTTGTGGTATAAAACAATATTCGTGGATTTTATGTGAAAGAAGAAAACATGACACTCAATTTCAACTCTATTCATTTAGTAATATAGATGATATAATATAGTTTCTATAGCATATTTGAGCTTATATAGTTTGAATGAATTAAATAAGCTTAAGTGTTTTGCTCATTGTTGAAGGCCGTACGGTGACCTATAGTTGTTAATTTTGTATGTCATTTGGTCTCTTGTGGAGAGTTGTCTCATTGGCAATCATACCACATCTTCTTATTTTTATATCAAACTGTAGGTTTAGAGAATTTGTTCAAAGGCTATATAAGGAAGGCATATAACCTGATGTTCAATGGTTGTCGTTTGTTGATGTGGTTCATATGTGTTTCTCGTCTCGTTTTTTATATAGATTAGACCGTTGGTTTTCCTGTTTGTATGGTTTTACACTAGTCATTTTTGGGGCCCTTTTTAGCTTGCTGTTCGGTGTGAGTCAACTTGAAGGCTCCGTGTTGAAGGCCGTACTTTGACCTATAATTGTTTACTTTTACAAATTGTGACTTGGATGGAGAGTTGTCTCATTGGCACTCATTATCTATGTAATTGACAAACGAAGTTGATAACGCAAGTTTATGGAATAGGAGATGTTCAAAAATGATATCAAAGTTGTTTACTAACAGGAATATCAGTTAAAGGTTTTTATTTTTCAAATTGATTCTGTGGGAATACTTGTTTAACCAGTATATAGAAAGTCATTCGATAAATTTTTCAATCTATTTTCAAGTTAAGGTGGTACTAAAAACCTTGACTAAAATTAATTTGGCTCGTTTAATTTTCATAGAATTTTGACAAAATATTTACTTTGACCCTTTGACAAAAATATAAAAATTTCAAAAAACTTGAACTACACACTTTATCGGAAAAATTTCATTGGATGTATGACAGTTTGACAAACACTAATTTTGATCATTGAGAAACTTAATATTTCCTTAACAATAGAACGTGATTAAAACGTTCAGCTGATTTTTAAAGAGTTATCTCCTGTAGTGTTATGTACCACCTTAATGTTCAATATCCACAAAGCATTTTCCTTCTGAGAATAAATTTTCCATAGTATGACATTTTGGGGAATTGTTAAAAATTCAAATTTGATCGTGATGGTCTTATGATAGGATTCAAAGTGAAAACTGAAAGTTCAGTCTTAATATGAAAATAAACATAGATATTGACAACCTGACTTACCGACAGATTAAAGACTTATTGAATGTAAAATGGTCTGTTTTATTTAAATAATGAATGTTAATGTCAGGAAGCTGAATTATATAACGAGAATATAGAATGCCAAATATCTTTATAATCGACCAAGCAATTCAAAATAAATCAGTTCTGCAATTGTTGATGTTCAGATGATTATTCAGACATTACACTTCAATGCAGCTGTGCATTAATTGCATATTTTGCATGCAATTTTAAATCTGGTTTAATATCTGATTAATTACAAACTAGACTGGACTCTGGTGGATAGTTGTCTCATTGACTATCACACAACAACTCAATCTCCTTATTTAATTACAATGTTACTATTCGTATGGTTATGCAACAAGGAAAGTTTATTTGGACTTTTCAACTTTTTTTATTCGAGCGCCATTGATGGGTCTTTTGTAGACGAAAATGCGCGTCAGGCGTATACAATTTTAATCCTAGTATCTATGATCAATTTATTTATCACTTTTAATCTAAGACCGATACTCTGTTACACCGCTGTCCCAGGTTAGGGGAGCATTTGGCGCCAGCAAACATGTTTATAATTAACCCCACACCCTGTCCCAAGTGAGGAACCTGTAGTTCATGTTATAAATTAGGCCGTTAGTTTTCTTATTCAAATTTCTAAAAGAGAATTAAGTTTAATATTTTTTATGTCGGGGCCTTTTAAAGCCGACCATACGGTATGGGTTTTTCTCATTGTTGAAGGCCGTACAGATGCCTATAATTGCTTACATCCACTTCATTTGAACTTTGGTGAATAGTTGTCTAATTGGCAAACATTCCACATCTCCTTATTTTTATATTCTGTTAAAAAGCGTGATAGTCCACCAGAGGCAATACCGACCCAGTGGTGGTAAACACATATCGTGTTCCTGCACGCGCCTGTATCTGGATTAACCATCATTACGTGTCCCTGCACACGCCTGTATCTGGATTAACCATCATTACGTACGCTGGAGACAAACAGTGTGTAAGGACGAAACATAAATCTTTTGAGAGCATAAATATCCAAAAGTGCATAAGAAGACTAACTAAAACCGTCAAAGATCAAAGGTCAAATTTGCTGTAGGGTGTTGCATCCTTAGTTATTCTATTATATGTATATAGCATGTAAAAATACAGCTTAAAGTTTATGGAATGATTATGAATTATAGGAGATGTGCGGTATGTGTCTATGAGAGTAGCAACCAAACGACATAGAGAAATCGATCGAAATAAAGAGGTCAACATACGGTCCTTAGTAATAGACAAGTGCCCGTAAAGTATGTCAACCTCAAAATCTTCCCGTGTCAGTAATAGACAAGTGCCGGTACAGTAGGTCAACCTCAAAATCTCCCCTTGTCATTAATAGGCAAGTGCCGGTACAGAATATCAACCTCAAATTCTCCCCATGTCAGTAATAGGCAAGTGCCGGTACAGTAGGTCAACCTCAAAATATCCCTATGTCAGTAATAGGTAAGTGCCGGTACAGTAGATCAACATCACAATGGCCTTTTGTAAGTAATAGACAATTGCCTGTATAGTATGTCAACCTTAAAATCTCCACGTGTCAGTAACAGACAAGTGCCGGTACAGTATGTCAACCTCAAAATCGCCCCGGGTCAGTAATAGACAAGTGCCGGTTACAGTATGTCAACCATAAGATCTCCCTGTGTCAATAATACGCAAGTGCCGATACATTATGTCAATCTCAAAATCTCCCCATGCCAGTAATAGACAAGTGCCGGTAAAGTATGTCAACCTCAAACTCTCCCCATGTCAGTAATAGACAAGTGCCGGTAAAGTATGTCAACCTCAAACTCTCCCCATGTCAGTAATAGGCAAGTGCCGGTACAGTATGTCAACCTCAAAATCTCCCCATACCAGTAATAGACAAGTGCCGGTACAATATGTCAACCTCAAACTCTCCCCATGTCAGTAATATGCAAGTATCGGTACAGTAGGTCAACCTCAAAATCTCCAGGTGTTAGTAATAGACAATTGCCTGCACAGTATGTCAACCTAAAAACTCCCCGTGTCAGTTGTATGCACATTTAATAGAATATCAAATATCTTCCTATCAACATCAAATTCTCTAAAAGACCTAAAAAGACATATCAATAGACAACTATTGACAGGTTCTTGACTTGAGACAGTTGAAGAATACATATGGTGGCCATGACGGGGTGAATTAGTCGTTAAAACGTATCCTAGGGGTATCTCTTTAAGGTCATGTGAACTTATCCAACATATTCATCAATAGACAACCATTGACAGGTTCCTGACTTTAGACAAATCGATGTAGGTATATATGGGGGCCATGACAGGTTGAATTAGTCGTTAAAACATACTCAAGAGGTATCTCTGTAAGGTCATGTGAACTTATCCCACATCTTCGTCATACATTATACAATATTTTCAACAGCTGGTAAATGTTTACAATACTATGTGTACATTAAAAACGAAACAACATTCATTATATAAATCAGACGCATTCTGTAGGTACTATAAAACGGAAATAACGCTTAATGTAAACGAAGGGAAAATGCTTGACATATTTTGTTGTGTCTTGTAGATTTATGAAAATCTGTGTCTATATATTATATATCATTTATAATAACTTCTCATTGCAACACAATGTCAAATATTTATAACATATGGTACAGTGAAACGTATCACAGTTTCCGTCGTAGAATTTACTTTAAGATCCAAGTTAAAATTTTAGTTGGTCTGAATGGGGTATTTCATTTCTTTAATTCTTTAACTTTTCATACCATTTTTGTATTTCTTCATTTATTTTGACAATTAAATCTATTATAATTCAGCACTTAATTATTCTCCATTCTTTATATTTTTTACTTATTTTCTGTATTCTTTATATTTTGACCATTTTTTTTTATAGTATTGAGCCACAGTGACGATTCTTAATTCTGTAAACTCTATCCAGACCTTATGTATTCTGTCGTGGAATATACTTTAGAATATAATCTAAAATGAACAACTGTTTATCAAGTTTACCAACCAAATTATGAACTTTTTTTTATTGTACTGGTTGTTATGAACAGAAATCTATTGGTTTACAGATCCATACATTCATGACATTTCTTATAGATTGTGGGTTAAGAAATTGACATGGACCGACGCTTTATATTTGAAAATTTTGGGATAGAACTTACTATATCTACAGAAAGAGTTAATGGCATTTAACAATTTACACTAAAACAATTCTGGAACAATTCTGGTATCATAGAAGTTTACTTTACTGGTTTCATGTAAGAAGCTGATATGTATAATATGCATGTATCTAGTGATGAAATAATCAACTCTTTATCAATAATTGCAGTTTATATATGTCGAGGATATGTTTCTTACATCTGATAAAAATGTCATCAGTTGTTCAGTATTATTTCGTATTATCAATGTTCATTAGTTTTTGAAATAGTTTTGTTATGCTTGGATCAGCATTGTATCGACACATTAATCATGTCAGAGCAACATAACTGTGCTGCTGCAAGGCTACAGATTCACGATTTATAGAATAAAAGAATAAAACATTAATGTTGCTTTTATGATAAATCAACCTAAAGTAGGATCATATGGCAAACAATACCGTTGACGTATTGAGTAAAAATAATTTCATGTGATTTTTAGGGACGCTGGATTGTAATCACATAGATTTAGAGTTTAATTCTTGCTTAATGCTCTATTATAGTAGATACATATAACGCAGATTGTAATAATTTTTTGGTCAGATGTGTACTGTCTTGGAAGAATCTCAGTTGCTCCTGAAGGGAAAACTGCTCCTGCTCAACACATATGACATCTATTAATACAAACCCTCCGTTTAACTAGTTTCGAACGCTAATTGATTTGTTATAGATATAAGGAAGAAAGTTAATTACACGAAGAAATGGTAAAATGTCCTATTTAATTACGTCTATCTAACTATTGGTGGAGTAGTTGAAATAATGGATGTCCTTGTTCTGCGATTAACATGAGAGAGAGAGAGAGAGAGAGAGAGAGAGAGAGAGAGAGAGAGAGAGAGAGAGAGAGAATAAAGTTGAAATGTGAAAAACGCATCTTCAAGATGACCCTGGTCACCTCTACCGCCGTATATGTTAGTCCTTATATTTTAAAGCTGGAACATCGCTCATTTTTTAATAAAAAATATTACTTTTCGGTTTCATGAAAGACGGTACCGTTTTTTTTTTTATTTTATACTTCTAACGTAACTTTTTAAGCGTTTACTATTTCATACTAATTATTTTATTATAAGAAATTATTAATATTGTATGCAATATAGGTTATCACTAAAGAGTGCCTATTAATTTGTTTACCTTACAGGCTATAGTCACTTAATAGTTTTGTTATGTATTGACTTAACGATCAGCTGAACACACAAGAATACATCAATTACTAATTGTTTTGACATTGCCTTTATATATAGATCTCAGCGTGGTTTTATGGAGCATTCTATGACGCAATAAAAACAGCAGATGTATGACGTCATTATAAAATTGACATGCTTTATTATAATACTGAACAGTTTAAGTGCCAATCTGGACTTGATAATCAGAGTCATTAAAGCACCAACATGCACGTGCAGTAAAAAAAGCAAACCAGAAACAAATCAAAACGATATATAACCAAATAAAACAAAAATGATCTCCACTCGAAATCGATAGATTGCCTATCACAGTTTTAAATTGTCTTTTTGAAAGTCTTGATTGAAAAATTGATTTTTATGTAATAAACTATTGTCTTATTCTAACTACAAATAAATAGCTTGCAGATTCATTTGTTTGTAAAAACATTTGACTGTCTGTTTTGTGGTGCAAGTTCAAAGTCAATGACTGTCCGTGTTTACCTCGTTTTCAATACCGCCTGAATATTCGCGCATTGAAAACAGTTTGATGGTATTTTCTTATTGCGTCATTTGTTAACAGTTGGCCTTTGGAAGAGAATCGTTTGATCAAAATTAATTTTTAATGGCTCGGCCTGTATTTTTAAGTAAGAGTTTTAGAGTCCGTCATATGTTGTCATAAATATGTTATTTCACTAACTAAAACAAACGTATGGTCAATAGGTTCCAAATGATTTGTAATAATACGCTTGCATAATTATTAACTACCGAATGCCCTTGTAACAGTAATAGCAATGTCTTCCTCATAATAATGAAAGAAAAAATTTAAAAAAATCTTATTACAGAATACTAATGCAAGAGGGTGTGGATGAGGTATCTTAAACTGTATTCTTTGATTTTTTAAGCCTATCTTCTCTATTATTCATATGTTTGCCCACCCTTCTCTATTCTTTGTATTTTTATACCCCATTATTCTCTATTTTTTATTTTGGCCTATTTTTCTTTAGCATTGGTCCATTTTTCTTTAGCATTGTTCCATTTTTCTTTAGCATTGTTCCATTTTTCTTTAGCATTGTTCCATTTTTCCAGTTCTGTAAACAACATTCAGACCATCATGCACCATTTCCAAGAAATAAATATGCTCGCGCTATTAACAATCGATATCATTGGTTTATAATGAGGTATACCTACCAGGTAAATCTGTTGTGAATTCTGTTGCGCTTGCATTACTGACGTCACTACTACCTATGGTAACCATGAATATTTTGTACGTTGATAGCGGAATTAATCCACGAATCGTATAACTCCTTTTTAGCCCATCAATATTCCTTGTCAGTTTTAAGTTAAAATTTCCCAATGCACCAACAATCTCATAAGTTAATTGAAAACCTTTAACAACATCTGAAGTCTCGTCAATAATCCAGCACACTGTTGCCTTATTTCCTACTACCAGTATAGGAGGTAGAATCTGCGGAGGTTTTAAAGCATCTGCAAAAGACAAATGAATAAATCTTAATTTTCTACAAAGTATTTTGTGGACTTGTTCTTCTTTTTCAACGCTTTTCGTTTTTTTTTTTTTGTCATGACGTTGTCAGTTTTTCTTCGCCTTATGAGCTTTGAATGTCCTTTTAGTATCATTCGCCATTTTGTTTATCAATGATGTGATAATTCGAGCGTGAACGGTGAATTTCTGGTAAAATACAAAATGAAGAATAAGTGTAATAGTAAGACTGAGGGCCGTAACCAGAAGCTGTGAAGATTTAGCATTTGGACAAAACAAAATCAGACGATTTATCAACAAACAACAGTTATTTGGTAAAAACCTATCCAATACATTATCCTATTTTTTAAAGATTAAAATGAAAAAAAATGGAGGTTTACGATCGCACGCATCGCAGCCCTTGGCTCTAAAAATGAAATAACTCTTCATAAAATTTATGCGTTTGAAGCACATTTTTGGATGTACCCTCATTAGGAGCTCCCAAAACCATACATTTGCAAGCCGAGGATGTCCGAGTACCGAAACTCGTTACGAGAAAAATGACCAATAGGGACAATTTAAATAATAGCCAAATTCATCTGTGGTCAACTTTGCCTTAGGAAGTTGAAACCCTAGTTTCTAAATGATTTTTTTTTATAAACAGACAATTTAAGAAAATTATGCTATGAATTATGTCAGTACCGAAGCACTGACTGCTGAAAACCAAGAATGTTAAGAGTTATATGACTAACAAGGACCTACAAAATCGAGCTGAGGTCTACAGTATAAACCGTTTTCATGTCAAAAGGTGTACAAGAATAAATGACTGAAATACATATGAAAACTATATTACAACATATAGGCGAATTATTATTAGTACATTGGTCTTTTCATGGACACAAATTGTTTTATTCTTTTATATAAATAACGAGAGAATTGGTATACGTCAATGCATGCACGTATACGTGTAGTATCATCCATATGTTAATAGTTGATCTTTTCTTTTTTTCATGTTTTCTGAATCTCTATCATGCTTTATTTAGGTATTAAGACTTTCTACATCTTTTGTTTTACCTTGTGACTAAAACCTACCCCCCCCCCCCCCCCCCCCCCCCCCACCCAAACAAGCTTTAATTTTTGCCAAAGATGTCAAGAAATGATACTGTTGTTAGCGAACTATTTGAACGCTCGAATCAAATATTCTACAACGATTGAAATTTTTCATTGAGTCTTTTTAATGCTTTAACACTTCAGTGAAATACAAGATCCTCAAATTCCTGGTAATTGCAAGAGCGGCCTGAATAGATTGTTTCAATTTTATGTATGGATTTTCGTCTTTGACCTTGGCCTTTCCTAGAGAAAATAACGCTTCGAATCACTTATACAGGTCAAAGAGATCCACATACCGTATATCTTTTCTAGTTAAAGATTAACACATTGAAAGAAGAAGAAAAATCTACATGTATTAATTTTTTTTTAATCCACCTGATATGAACGAAAAACTGTAGGTTAGAAATAAGAAGGGAACGTATCATACTGAAGTAAAAAATCAAGATGGTTGCTACAACATATCGTGACGTAAACCATTTAGCCCTGTCTTTACCGTAGTGATTTCTTAATGAAATATATCAGTAAATCTAAACAAGATAACAGACTTGCCTATAATTTTTTCCACGATCAATTAGAAATAGAAAGCTTAGCATGCACAGTAATAAAGTTCAAACACGACACGGAAACTTAAGGGTCTGTTATATCCAAACTATATCGATAATGGACACATTACAACGTTGCTGGTCAAAAGGTTGGTTTATTTTTGCCCTTAGAGTACCATAATTTTAAGTAATTAAGTGAAGTAATTGTAAAACGCACTGTCTGACATGTAAATGTACATGTACGACCTCGAGTCAAAAGAATCTCTTATAATTCTAAAGGTATTCATTCACATATCGTATCATCTCACCTTGCAATATATTTTATACACGAGTATACCAATTATCAAATCAATAGTTATATTGAAATAGGTAAATACGTTCAGTTTCACCAGCAGGTTATTGAGGAAATATTTCGTAACAAAAATATGAAAGCAATATAAAACATGCCGTGTGAATTCATCTCATTTTGAATAAAGCGAATACATTTTGAATTCATCTTAGGGTTATTTACGAAAAGCATTTGTTTGTAATAAATGAAAGCGCCGCAAGCGTGTTCTGCCCAATCATCTTAATATGAATATTTAATGAAAGTCATATTTTTGTAGAAAAATTCCCCTGTGTAATAAAAAATTATCGTTCTCAACACAGAAGACAGTACATCGACGAAAGAAAGCATGACGCCTGGCATTCATTTTTTATTTCATTTAATATCATAAACTTATTAACATTTAAAATTTGTCAAAAGTATCACCAGAATGCAATATGAGTCTTTCAGATGATAATAGAAAGTGCAATATATGAGTTTCCTTAGTTCAGTTAAACTATTAACCACAGTCTTACCTTTTTTCACTTTGAAACTCAAAACAATTCAGGAAACAAATGGAGAAATCACTTCGTTCTGGTATCTTACACGTGTACGTACACCCACATGTCAAAAACTGATACAAACGCTCATCCACAAGTCAAACATGAATTCATACGTTCACCCAATGTAAAATATTGATACAAACGCTACCCACATGTCAAACATGAATTCATACGTACACCCACATGTCAAAAATTGATACAAACGCTCATCCACAAGTCAACATGAATTTATACGTTCACCCAATGTAAAATATTGATACAAATGCTCAACCACATGTAAAATGTTGATACAAACGCTTACTCACATGTAAAATATTGATACAAAACCCACATGTCAAATATTGATACAAACACTCACCCACATGTCAAATATTGATACAAACGCTCACCCGTATGTCAAATATTGATACAAACGCTTACCCACATGTCAAATATTGATACAAAACCCACATGTCAAATATTGATACAAACGCTCACCCACATGTCAAATATTGATACAAACGCTCACCCGTATGTCAAATATTGATACAAACGCTTACCCACATGTCAAATATTGATACAAACCCACCAGCAAATATTGATACAAACGCTCACCCACATGTCAAATATTGATACAAACGCTTACCCACATGTCAAATATTGATACATGGATACGACCACACACATGTCAAATACACTTGTCAAATATGAAACTTGTACGTTCACTTACATGTCAAATATTGATACAAACGTTTACCCACATTTCAAATATGGATTCATACGTTCACCCATTTATTTCAAATATTGATACAAATAATTACCTACATGTCAAATATGTGTACAAACGTTTACCCACATAACAAATATTGATACATACGTACACCAATATGTCAAATACTGATAAATACATTCACCCACGTGTCAAATATTAGTATATACGTTTACGACATGTCAAATAAAGACACAAACGTTCACCACATGTCAAATACTGATAAATACGTCCATCCACATGTCAAATATTGGTATATACGTTTACGATATGTCAAATGTACATACATACGTTCACCGACATGTCAAATACCCATACACACGTTCACCAAAATGTCAAATATTGATAACAGATCATAACACGTCGACCCAAGTGTTAAATAATGTTACATCTAAAATACCATTACAAAAGCTTATACATAGTTGATCATTAAGTTTACATATACATGTATCTTATCAGCTTACCTAGCAGTTTAACAGATATCCATTATAAGACTTCCAAATTCTAAGTCACAAAATATATAAAATATTTCAAACCCACTACTTCAGTTATAATACGTAAAATCTTTCCTCATCAATACGTTCGAGTGGTATCAAACAGATCGTAGGATTTTCATATCATTTGATAAATATAAGCGATTGAGAATTATTTATAGCTTGGTGGTGATGATAGATCCATTTATTTATCTTATTATCACTGCAATGCAACGACATTATGTCCATTAATATGTATACTGCTAAATACCGTAGAGATCAATGTAAATTGAAATGTAATAACGCTAGATCTGTAGGGAGTGTGGTAAAAGTACAATGTTATTATAAGATTTTATTGCACTTTTCTTCCTCAATGTGTTACCCCATTATTCTCTCATATACAATTTCAAATTTCATGACTTTACTGCACGTAACAAGACACACTTTCATTGTGTGACATTATGTCGTAAAAAAAGACTTGAATATTCAAAATTCAAAATAATGAAAATATTCATATAAAAGCATATAAGGTTTGTTAAACCTCAATTAAATATATAAATACATATACATAAATATGGTTTAAATCATGTGAATATACAAAAATTTTCCGAAATTGACCAAGGCAGATTTAATTCAGTGCTATATCTGTGTCCTTTTATAATTGGCGATCACCACCACGTGGTCAACTTTGGTCCTTTCGGAACAAAAATGCCAAATAACCCTGTATCCAACTATCAAGTCGTTTTGTTCGAAAGATGTTGAAGTCATTTATATAGTATTTTTCACTAGACTGTTGTTCACATTCGAACACTACTTTTAATTTTGGAATAATATACATTTTATCCTATATTTATTATACTAGACATGTATAGTCTCCTGGTATCCTGCTTCTGTTGCCAGGGAACAGTTATGTTCAAATTGTTTACTAACAGTTCAATTTGGGGTCCTCGCGTTTAAGTCATGTCGATTTAATTTTTGATTGGACAAAAAACTATGTGTTTCAGCTCAATGTTAAATTGCAGGATAAAAACAAAATTCGTACAGTTCAAGAAAAAATAAAATGCATTAGGACTCGCAACAAAAAATCGGAGAAATGCTCGGCGAGCCTCGCTTTTCTCTCTGTTTTTTGAGATCGTCAAATAAATTTTATATTTTCCTTCACTTTACGAATATTGTTTATGTAAGAGATCAAATATGTTTTTCCTGCATCTAGATTCTACCACTGCATCAAGTGTGATATGATATTTATCCACTTGAGACAGTTAAAT